GAGACCTGAAGCGCTTTTTATCGCTTCGACGGATCGGATAGTAATACGGGATATACTTATAGCGCACATGCCATCCCAAGCACATGCTGGTTACGAGCGTCGGGGTAAAATATTTACCCCGGGCATTGAACAAGTGGAGTAGTGAATCCATCGAGCCCAGTACAATTCCTGAGCATTGTTTGGCACTCCCTGTCCAGGGCCATCCGCTGAAAAGCTGAAGCTGCCATCAGCTGGCCACCATATCGCATCCCCTTCGCATCGTATTGCGGAAAAAGATCATCAATCACTGAGCGGCCCTCTTACGAAGCTTGTTCGTCCCATGAAGCCAATCCAGCAACCCAATCGACCCATAATTCAAGTTGAACTTTTCATGATGCAAATCATGCATTTTGGCAATCCCACTGAAGAAATCATACCCGCTATGCACGAGCGACGTATTAAACAGCTCGTAGGCAAGGAATATCCAAAAGGTCACAATGTGGCTTCCAAGTAGCGCCGGCGGGATTGTGATGGGCAGGATATTCGCCACGATGTGCTCGACGGGATGCGCGTACTGCGCCGCAAGCGCGACTGGCGCGGTGAAGCGGTGGTGAAGCTTGTGGATGCGGGCGTAAAACGAGCGGTGGTGCAGCAGGCGGTGGCCGTAGTAGAAGAGGGCCTCGCGCAGCACGAGGGAGATGGCGAAGTCTCTGGCGATTATGGGGAGAGCGGGCAGCGGGGCTTCGATCCGGTAGGGGCTTTTGGGTGAGAGGAGGATGAGGAGGATGTGCAGGGCGGAATTGATGAGTTGGTTGCGCAGGACGAGGAGGGTGCAGTCGCGGATTTCCTGGCTCGTGGGCTGTTTGGGGCCGGGCTGGAGCTTGTGGCGGGTGGAGAAGGATGGGGCGAAGATGTCGAGGAAGAGGAAGAAGAGCGAGGGGAGCCAGAAGGTGAGGAGTTGGATGGTGAGAGTGCCGAAGAACTCAATGGCTGGATCTGAGTGGGAGTTGAGGATGTTGCTCCATGTTGTGTCCAAGAAGGTGCCTTTGTCTCGGCCGCTGAAAACAGAGGACGCCATGGTTCAGACACGGTCACATCGAGGCAAAGAGATCTAACTAGTAAACGTCTGATACTGGACTGATCGGATGGGAAAATATATTTTATATCAAACCTGACAATATAAAACGCCGACAACTCGTGAATTGTATATGCCTCGGTTCGGAGAACCGACAAGCCATGCTGGATGCCCGCTGCATGTGAGATCTTGGAGGAATCTCTCCACTTTGGAGCCTTCTTCCCAACGTACACCTTTTTCCCGATTGACAACAGCAATTTCATGTGCAAAATGAGCCTTGAAGTTCAAGTTGATATCAAGCGTTGGTGAACCGGTTACGGGCGGAGTCCGCCGCGGAGAGGGGCGGAAACCCAGCGGAGCGGGGTGCGGAACCATCTCAGATCAGAACTTTATGAGTCCTTGAGGCCGGTAACTATTGTATCCCGGGATGCCCAAGTCTCTTCAAATCGAAAATATAGGCCTGAAGTCGGCCCTGAAATTCTGGCGCGATCTGGCTATGAGCAGCTCGTTTGATCAGCCCGACTACGTTTCCGCTTGCCCTCCAGATAGTGGAGAAAGTGACCAAATATATACAAGGCATGTCATACTGCCATGCAAAGGGCTTGCAATATAAACAAGAAGTGTACAGGATTGGTATCAAAATAAACAAGAAAGCCTCCCTGGCTCCGACAGACCCGACCCATTTACGCCTGCGCTTCCATGCGCCTCATGTTTCCCGTCATACCTCATTGGACGGTCCTCGAGCCAGAGATATGTCGTTTTCGGACTCATCCAGCTCCTGAAAACTATTCACACGAACCTCCATAGTTTTTGTTATATAGCCTGGAACAATATTTTCGGTGGAATCGTTGGCACCATCACTGCCGCTGGAGCTCGATCGACTCCCGCCTACCCATCCCTGGTACTCGCTAAGAGGATAGATCTGAGCGTCTGACCCTGTAAGCATCAGCTTGCCACCGTGGCTCCTATTTTTGCTGCGGCTGTGCTGATGGTGACCATGCGGTCGATTTGGTCGTTGAGTCAAGGAGCCGTTTGGAGATGAGGCGGAAGTTCGTTCGCGGAGCGCTGTGACTAGTGGTCCGAGGGTTGGGATGCATGCAGCGATTATGATTAAGTATTGTTCCGTGGCGATGTAGATGGTTAGGGCGATGCTGTTGAAGGTATAATCATTTTGTACGGATAATCGTGCCAGGAGAACTGTTCTGGCAGTCGTAGCAGCCATTGCACTGGTTATTGTTAGATTCAGTTCGCAATGTGTGCACGGAATATCACAGAAGACATACGCTATACCAAGTGCCGTGACGCAACCAAGACCTATTTTCAGTCTCAATTCTGTTTGGGATCTCCAGAGTATAAATATGGGATATATTGCGAGGAGGAAGTTGGAGAATGCCGACATTGCTAATGCACCTGTTCAATCGCCATGTTGCAAGATACCAGCCGGTCCGTTGAAAACTTACAGCCTTGGAAATATGCGTAATCCCGCTGGATCTCTGGCGGCCAGCATTTCCCCTTGATCCGATTGTCCCAAAGAGCCGCAGTCGGTTTACACTGGTGGTAGTACGAGTAGACACACAGGATGTTCACTATTGTAAGCAAGATCGCTCCTCCGTAAAAGGCTTTCTTTTGCTCTTTCGCTCTGTCCACGACTCGGAGCAGAAATAGGACGACCGAGACCTTTCCCCAATTTGCAGCCATTATTCCAAAGCCTTGGGATATCCAGTTGAATCGGTTGGCTTGGATTCTGTCGTTGTCCGTAAGGTAGACCTCATGTCGGCCTGTGCCGTGTCTGACGCTGATACTGAGCAAAACGGAATGGGACGCTGCGTTGAGCTGCAGAGGCTGTCAGTATTATAAACGCATTTCGACGACTCTCAATCTCAACGCCTGGGGCCAATAATCACCATCGTTAGGCACATAAACACATCATCTCGCCCCCAGAATCTGTTCAATTTCGTCCGGCTGAATATCCGCGATATGACGAGCAGCAGCGCAATGGTGAACTCAACCCACACAATGGAGTTTATCACCGGGCCCCAATTCACGTCCCCATCTGTTCGAGGCTCATGGCCAGCCATCCTGATCCGGCTCTGAGAACGTCGCAATATCATGCGAGTCCTAGCCAGAGGGCTCCATCGAAGGGACGTCGAGCAGGTATTGCTAGAAAACACTTAACTCGACATTGAAAGATTGATCAACGGACCCAGCCTCAGTCTCCTGCATGGCGTGAGGGTGCAAAGTCTCGATTCGACCGGGCAGACCTCAGTCTCGGATTTTGGCATGATTATTAAAAGATTCTCGAAACTGAACCGCCTCCTCCTTCGTCAACACCAAAACGCCATCGACTGGGATGAACGCTGTAAGCGAGCTGGGATCAGTCCCAGCAGACGGTTTGCACGCCCATGCATCCCGTCCTAGAGCCAATGGACTCGCGAGCTGCGAGTTTGAAGGTTAAGAAGCCATCTTCTAGCGCCGAAGTTCCAACCCATGTCGTTTCAACAATGCGAGGCTGTTGGGTTTGGGCGTCAGTTTCCGTGCTGATCTTCGCGATCATTTTTTCCCTTGAGAAAGCCTAGCATTTTGTGAACTAACCAACTAACTAGTTAACTCGTGACCCCGAACGAGCTCGTAACAATGCCGGCGCGCTATTAGCCTATTACCCAGATGAAGCTCGAAATTGACCTGGGAAAGGAGCCGGGCATTTCTGCGTGGGCTCAATTTTGCATGACCAAGCTCCTGGTCACACCTCTTGGGGGCGATATAAGCAGGGAATGCTGATAAGAAGGCGTGCTGCTAACAAGGAGAGCCGCTGTTGACTGATGATGAAGACAGCCTTTAGAATCCGAAAACCCGGTGCAGTGATTTGGAATTTCTCGACGTCTTTTGCACTTGGCAGTTTGGTGTTTCAACCTTTGGATGTGATTCTGCTTTGCCAGATCAGGTCAACGGCAGTCAATATCTCTGTGCACTTCAGTCGAGACGCGGTTGTCATCAATTCGGTTTCTTTGCATGAACACTAGCCTTTGCACTCATTCGTTCAATGCTGCCAGTATAATGTAACTAACGAGATAGGCTTTGTTGTGGACATTCTCTAGTTAGTTAACTATATGCGATGGGTTTTATGGGAGGTGTGCGTGCATTGTTTTGATTGCTCCTCAACACAGCATCACTGGGAATGGCTAGCTCTCTCATCGGTGAGGTCGATAAACGAGTTCTCATGCCAAATTTATGGCAGATTAGCTCACATATAGTTACCTGCTTGTCCGTTTGGTTGCCGGTCTTGCTCCTCGACAATCAGTGACGAGCTCGATCCTATATCATAACCACCTATACAATGTCGCACATTCTTCTGATTTTCTGTTAATAGTCTCTGCTCTGATAATCTCTCCCTTTGCGCACGAACTCTAAGGGCCACTGTCCACCATTCGCGAGCAACCTTAAGAGTGCAAGGATGATCCGACAGCGTTTCTGGACCACAATTCACACATTCGCGAGGACAATAATCAACGGTCGAAGTCGAGCGTCATGCCTACTTTGGAACACCGGACATCCACAAAAGCCTCTATGCGGAATAGAGAGTGATCGAGTTTCATGTTGTCTGGTGCCTGTTTCCGGCCCTCGCGCAACAAACCGGCTCCCATACTAGCAGTATTAAGCATACATGATCAGCAGGGGATTCCCCAGCCCGTTTTCGTCTCAATCAATCTCCGGGATATGCGCTCCCCGGACTGGGGGCGCTATTGGGTCAGGGCTCTCCTGGTTTGACCGTTTGAGGACGCGAGTGGAGCGTTCGGTGCAGATAATTTGAAGGAAATGCGTTTATGCGAGAACCCCGGATTGTGGAGAGTTGGATAATTAACCAAAGCGCTGGAGTAAAGTAACGGCTTCACGGCATTTCAACAGGTTCGGGTGAGGTGAATAATGCCACTTCCGCGTCACGCAGCACCGGGCATTCGGTGTGGATTCAAATCCGAGAGTTCTAATCCTGGACGATGGAGGATTTGACCCGGCGTGCCCCTTGTCTTGTCCTCACAAGCTGGGAGAAAACAGCCGCCGATGATTGAGCATTGAATATCGAACCTCACACTCGGAATTGTTGTTCAAAGGGAGTTTCTACAATAGTTGACATTATTAATTTCTAATATCCAGCCCAATGATGACAACCCGGCGCTCTCTTTGGATAGCACTCAATTGTCCCTTCATGATAATACCTCGTATATAAATCCTTCCAAGATGCAACATAAACCCGCGTGTCCCTTTGCTCGGTCCAACAAGACTCAAAAACAAAAAGATATCAATATACAAGCAAAGGCAGGAATAACAAGTGCGAATGAATCAGAAAAGCACTTCATACTTCCCCCAAGGATAACGACAGGTAATGGGAATCCATAACAAACCGGTAGAATCACCATGGATTAATTCAGCAAAGGAAAAGGAAAAGCATACATCTTTCGCTCAGACAATGCGACATCACAATCGAAAACCCGGTTCTGGGATGAGAACAATGTAGGACGATAAAACCAATTGGACACCGACGGACAAGATGTATCCCCCACAAACGAGGATATCTAGCGTAAAACAGAGTCTAAGAACCATAATTTGACAAAAAAAAAAAAAGGGGTGTTTTACAATAATATGTCGAATACTTATGTTTCTTCCTTCTTCTCGGCGTCATCTGTTATAGGAGGAGGTTGCGGTGTAGACTCGCCTGGCTCGGGTGCATCCGACTCCCCAGTCGAACCTGAATTATGCTTTTCGGTGTTATCGGTGTCTGTGAGGGTCTCTGGCTCGGGAACCGGCGGCAGGGGATTGGAGTCGTGACCATTCTCTTTCACTGAGCTTGTCCCAGCTATTCGCCGTCTCATTCTCCGGCTTCTCCTTGCTTCTTCGGCACTGTCTCTGCGGCGAGCGCGCGCCGAATCCGAATCCTTGTTCTCTCGCAGGCCTTGGAGCATGCTAGCAGCACGGTCCGCAACATCTTCGCCATCAGACACGCGGATATCCGGAGTAGCCGTAGTTGCATCCCCTGCGGGCTCTGGTTCCTGCGTTTGCTCCTCATTGGTTGTTGTATTTTCACTGGCCTTCTCGTCGCCTTCTACAGGAAGTTCGGGCATGCGTTGCCCCGAGGCTACTCGGACTTGGTGCCGCTCCTTTAACCTCGCACGACGACGCCTGTCGCGTTGATCACGCGCTTGCGGAGCGGCGGCTCGGAGTTTCTCCAATAGAGAATCCATTGCGCCGCTGCTCGCAGCAGTTGGGGAGCTCGGGCCGTCGGATCCATTGGTCAGAGCGGGATTAACGCGTTTCCGAGCCAAAGATGCTTCCATTCGGCGTCGATTGTCTTCCCAAGCAATGTTCTTCTCTTTCGATTTCTAGTTGTAACGGATGCAATTAGCTTATTTTCTGAAGGTTTATACACTCGATACATGTTACATACCTTCCATTCGAGCAAGAAGCCCGCGAGCTTCCCAAAGAACTCTCTTCGAGCATTTTCATCTGTGCTGTCTTCACCGTAAAACGTCATGATATCGTCAAATGTTTTGCTCATCTCTTCTAGATAAATCTGCAGCTGCTCGGCCTACGTCTTGCATCCTTCATCGATCGCTGAACCACTATAATTACGCGATCTTGGGGATGGAATTTCTAGGGGTCGCTCAGGTTCCCAGCATCGAGACTTGACTGAACGTTTTTGATATGGTCAATATACCGTTGGGCGTCAGAACGTAGTTGATCAATGTTCGCTTTCTGAACAATAATAACACCGTGGATTTCATCCTGGAAATGTTCCCACTCAGGGTATTGGTTTCGAACAATGCGTTCGACAAGGTCCGCAAAAGTCGAGTCATTCTTGTCGTCTTTGACCATTCGCAAGCGCGCGAGCGAGCTCAGCTTGAATCCAACGGGCTTCTTATTAGATTCGTTCATGAAGTTGCCAATGTCCAGAATCCAACATCACGTAAGGTTCATGAGCGACACAGACTCACGCAAGGACTCGGCGGGC